GGGGGGTCTATTGACAGATTGACTCGTAGACAGAAAACGAAAAAAAACTAGACTAGCTCTAAATTAAGTGACAGTGACGCCGACAGTGATTTAGAACTTAAAGTAGATGCCTAGCAACACCAAAATTTATATCTGGAACTAGATCTCTACACCTAGTCATAGAAACTTTAGCCATAACAGTAACATATAGATCTATCTATACTGCAGGAATTGAAAATAATGAAAATGAAAACACAATAACAATAGGAACCGTTAGGCCCAGGCACAGCTGTATGCTGTACAGTATGGGCAATTTTAAACAGGAGACATACATGGGGGGGCTCAAGTTTCAATTCCAGAATTGTCATGCAATAAAATTTAAAGCCGAAGCTAAGGGCATGTGTTGCCGAAATGGAAAAGTTAACCTCGAACCTTTTCCTGTACACATACTTCCTCTGCCTCTGGCAATACTCTTTGAAGGTGTGACTGCTGGCTAAGCACTTTTCTTAGAAAACATTAGGAAGTACCATAGAGCCTTTCAATTGACCTCACTTGGCTGTAAACAAGTTGCGATGATAGGATGGACTCCCCAATTCAGAATCCAAGGTCAGCTTTGTCATCCTATTGGACCCCTGGAGCCATCACATGAAGCACAGCCTTCTTTTTTACAAATTTATTTCATGGATGGTGGTGAACAGGTTGAAAGAGGGAGCAATATCACAGATGGACTATGAGACATCTAAATTTCTCTTTCAGGTGATACCTACATCTCTTTCAATTGATCATTTTCAGATTTTCTTTCTTGCGTGAGAATGACTTGACGATCGATTCTTTTGAGTACGCTCATCGAACGGGTACCCAGCTGGTCCTTTTCACAACTACAGTCTTTGTAAAGAGATTTTTTTGTGCAACAGTCAACTTTTATTTAATAATGCAGTTTTGTTCACCCCCACCTTTCCTTTCTCATTCTCCCCCCTTATCCCTTTTCTTTCTTTCTTTCTCTTTTTAACCGTCTCGTGTTATTCCTGGGTCATAGTGTTCTTTTTTTCTAAGTGGCCAAATCATGTTTTGAGAGTATTATTGATTCTTATTCAGTACTGGAATAAAGGTTTCGCAACTTTTATAACAACATATTATTCTCTCTCTCTCTCTCTCTCTCTCTCTCTCTCTCTCTCTCTCT